ATTTTTAAAGTTTGCTTTAACATGATACTGATCTATATTCTTGTCTCTGTATCTCTAATTCTTAGAGACGCTTCAGGTTTTAGATTCTAGAAAGCTTAGATGTGTGCAAAAAACCTAGTTGATTTCTAACGTGTTGTTGTCACCATAAAAGACAGAAACCCGTAAGTGAACAAGGCGCTCAATCATAAAAACCAATTAAACGACAAATAAAATTCTACTTTCACACCCGATAGGTTTAAGATCTCACATTGAGCTGTCATGTCAGTTAGCAATGGTCCGAACTAAAATATTAGCTACCGTATATTTTAAACCGCATGTCGGATTCAATGATCGAATGCTAACGAACAGGTCAAACGCGAATCGGGCAAGTGGTTCAAATAAAACCGACTACGACATTATTTACTCTCTAAACTATGTTCGGATTGGAATGTTTGAATGTAGAATAGAGCGACAACAAAACAAAAGACGAATATTTACGTTCAAATAATAAATATGTTTTTCTAGGACAAATTTGCGGCACATTTTAATTGTTTTGTTAACATAATCTTTCGATCTAATGACCACCGTGGTCGAGAGGCTCGCGCGCCGGTTTCATGGTGTCGCTATCTCTGAGGTTACGGGTTTGTACCCCGGCCGGGTCAATGTAGGAAAACTATCTTTCTATATTGTCTCGGGTCTGGCTGTTTGTGGTACCGACATTGTTTTCGTAATACAAGTGCTTTAGTTACTTAGTTTTGGATTAGAACAATGTATGTGGTGTTGTCTAGTCTTTGATTATATTATTAACATTTCATATCATTAACCCATTTATAAGTCCCATTGCTAGGCACAAGTCTCCTCTCAGACGAGAGTTTCGGCCTTAGTCCGTTGGTACAATGCTGGTTGGGGACTTCATAGGTTTTTCGAGGATCTTCGACGTAAGGTTTTATCACAATGTCTTCCTTCACCGAAAAAAAAATAGAAACTCAGAGGTGCAAGCCTGAATTCGAATCCACGGCTTCTGGTTGAAAGGCGGTAGGTCATACCATTAGGCTTATTTTGTATAAATTGATTAAAATAACGTTCATAACGCAACTAAAATTAAAATTTTAATGGGACGACGAGATGGGGAGACTAGGCGATGGAATAATAATTTCATAAGTCAATCATTCAATTGAAATAGGCAAGGTGCAGATGTTGTTCAGCTGTCAACAATTTACCAATATAAATTTATAGAGCAGTCATGTCAGAAACCAAAAAGGAAACCCTAACGTGTGATACAGAGGTCAACTCTATTAATGTCAAAAACATAATCTGATTGCGATACTGTTAAATTTGATGCGACGTATAAATAACGTGACCTAATAATGTAAAGAAAGTATAACCACAATAATACGTTTTGGAGTTAAATGTAGTGTGAAAATTGTGGTCGAACTGGCTCTATGATGAGATCAAATATCCATGCATTCGTGATGATACAAATGATAATAAGTATCGTTAAAATCTTCTAGCTAGTACTTTGTACTTTGCAGATTACTTATAATGAAATTAAGTGACAAAAATAAGGCAATGTGAAAATTATTGCAATTAAATACACTGGTGAAAGCTTCGTAGCAAAACAACTAATTGGCATCTGTGTATCTAATAACCGCTGCACATTTCTGAGAAATTTATGGCCACTGGTGTTTATTAAGGACAGTAAACGGCACGGAGAGATTGAGTTTGAATATCGATGACCATGGCGAAAATAACGTAGAATAGGAAAAGCTAGCGAGCATCAGACAAACAAGGATTTGTTTGAAGGAACCAGCAACGGTATGTAGGCAATTACACTTCTTTGTGCCAATTCACCTTGTGCACACTTAAAATTATTTGTCGATGGTGATATCGTGGTGGTTATTTGTTTTATAGTAAGTAGGTGCTGTGTTCTACGCACATAAAACAAGTTGTTCCAACCCGTCTTAAAAGTGGAGTGAATGTGACCAGACTAAACATGCATCAACGGGTCTGTCTAATAACTTCTTGAGTAGAACATGTCAATACGCTACGAATTAATTGGCTTCTCTATTTATATACCGTACTACCAGATGTCAGGTTTCCCCTATTTACATAGGCCAGTCAATCGGCGTATTGATGACGGAGAGTTATGCATTCTGGCGCAGGCACAGGGTGCAATAAATTAGCGAGAGCGCAATCACGTGCCAATGTCGATTCGGACTGTGGCGCAGGCTTCCGTATCTTGGGAATTGGCCCGGTTTTCTAAGAAAATTGCCTGATTTGCATGTGGGCAGGTTATGCCGAGAAAAGTATATCGGCGCCGCACCAAGTTACCCGCAAGGTGTGCACGGGAAAGCACGCCTGTCAACTAAATGAGTTTCCCATATGAAGTGTCTAAGTGTTCTGAAAAGGTAATATGAGGCGAGAACGGATGCTATCTGACTACTGAACAAGCTGACCTTCTTATAACCTAATTTTCAACGTTCCTTTTGACTACCTTTGCGTTTAGTTACGATATCTGTTTATATAGAGACGGAGAATTAAGATAGCGATATGTATTGCCTCATTTGGCCTTTTAGACTATGGCCATATTATAAATTAAATAGTGCGACCTATGTTATTTATTTTATAATGCACATAAAATTTCAGTGATAACACAAAACAGTAACTTAAGTAGGTATACAATAGTAAGTTAACATACTACAGGTGGCATTATGTGGCTATGTGCTACTTAATTCTTCCAGACAACCTTAGGATATAAATTTTGGGATATGCAAAAGCATGTTTACTTTACTCTTACTAATCAGATCTTTTAATGCACTAAAATTATAAAGACGGCGCCTATCAAATGCATTCAAATCACTATTGTTAATTTTCACACCGAGGCAAGTGGGTGAGAGGTGGCCGATTCCAGAGACCGCTCTCCACCCAATATTTCCATTCTTGAGAACCGGAACTTCCGATCAGAGAAAACGTCGCTCCTATATAGCAGTCTAGACTAGTACGAGTTATGCTTCGATACCCTGATGCCCGCTATCACATAACAGCACAAAGATATGCATTTGCAACTCTTGCTCGACTTTCATTAACATTAATCACGACTTGTACAAATGTACTGGTCTAAATATATCTATATTATTGTATTATGACAGCTAGTTTTAACGTTGTATTGACTGGAATATATACGTAAAATGAAATACACACATTGTATACATTTCGCAATAAAAATATCTTTGGCATAGTCATACATAACACTATTTACAAAATTAATTCTATAAGTCATAGATTACCTCAACACGCGTAACTTATGTCGTATAAGTTATACACTTAGTAAAAGCGATTATGATATCACAAAATGTGACTAAAAAGTGTGTCATTTAGGTAAATTGATGCCTGTGACCCAGTGGCGGCTAGAGACTAGTAAAGCGCGTGCCGAGCGAATGCTTGTACGCTACACTCTGTTAAAAGTTCGATGCTTATGAGAATCAAACAACTGATTATTACTAATGCTTCCCTCAATTATATCAACATACGGCTTAACCGGGAAATTATGCTATAATCTATACGTAAAAAATACTTCTAAAGGAATCTATAATAAGAATTATTGTTCTCGATGTTGTGATTATATGTTATCGTAGCGAGAAATCTTCACGCATTTGCCCGTAAAGTATAATAATGAGCAGGGAGACGTAAAGACGCGTCAGTAGGATGCGGACGGTGCGCACGGCGGAAGAGAAAGTTGGTTTATGGGCTCAAGGACGAGGGCATCGCTCCCGATTACGCAACACCGTGAGATAATTGATGCGCCCGCGCTGCCCTCGCGACTGACGACGGGTGGCGGCACGGGTTGCCGTGATTGTGTCGAAACCACAATGCGGATGCCGATTTAAGGACGATGACTCTGATTTCTGATTCTGACCAGTGATACAATGCTAGAGGCATCGCTTTCTCTGGAATTAGTGTTAGACGATACATCACGGCCAACGGCAATACAAATTTAGATGAATCATGACTTAATGATTATGTACTGTGAATATTTTAAGTTTTTTATGTATGTAAATTTATTGTCCGCAGTATTTAAAGCAAAGTAAAATCACTTTGTGTGTGACGTATATTGAAGTCAGTGGTCCTTCAGAGCACTTTCACCAGCACGCGTCGTAAGCGCATGAAATGGGCTTACAACGCATTGCATAACTGCGACGATCGCATATAATGCGGATAATTGCTCTGAGAGAAAGTCAATACTTTTTGGCGGGAACCGACTGAGTGCGCATGGACCATGGATCTTCGGGCTAGCATGCCATAGATCCATTCATTTCTAATCACTATTACACTAATACGATTATGACTGGGATGTTCGTCATTAAGTACGTACATGTAAGACGCTTTATGCGGGACAGTCCCGCTGTTAGGATTCCTGTCTCGCGGTCCCCAAAAAATTTAAAAGTGTCCAATTCACAAAACAGAACACATGTACAATATTATTTTTAAATGGCGCGAAAGTGAAAAATATATAAAACCAGTCAACCAAACATCGAGCACAAGACTACACAAGATTCGTCCAGGGAAATACTGCCACCTTACTTAATCTGCCGTCAAGCATGGTGGTGAAATAACAAACACGGGGTACTTGTCAACTTATGTCTCAGGGTGACAGGCGCAGTGCAGTGTCTCACAGGTTTTTGCGATTTAAAGCTCTGAGCGGCACTGCAACTGTTATGGACAGACGTGTCGCTTACCACCAGGAGTCCGACTTGTTCGTCCCGTCATTCGGTGTCATAAAAAGCAAAACAAAAAATAACATTTTGTATACAAATACTTTATGCAATCGCTACCGACAACTATCACTGCTAACTCACCGTAGAGACACAGGTACAGGAAATACGTTTCAATACTAATGGTCAATAGACAAGTAACTTTTTCTTCCGCTCTCACTTATTTTTATCTTCTCTTCTTATTTGGGTATCTCATCTACCATATTGAAAGCGAAATTGTCGTAAATTGTATAATTAACAGAAAATTACCTTTTGCAACGATGAATTGTTATGTCGGTGACATAAATTTGTGTGTGATCCAAATCTTGAAAACCTGTAACAAGAAAAAATTACATAAAAAAACTTCAATTGATAATTATAAATAAGTAGACTGAGTAGCCGTGACCTCGGGAGTTGAAAAGAGCCTGAAAGGATCGTTGGTTTAAAAAAAAAACATATACACGCAATTAGAAATTGAAAAAAAAATCGCTTCCCATAGTCCTTCTCGCGTCGTATTCCTAATTGCTGAGAGTCATGATTCCCCCGCAGAAACAGTTTCTGCAAGACGACACTGCGCCATGTGTGGTGGTCTTTGGTATAGTGGAGCGCATCATGAGACTCATGCTGAGAGGCGTACATACTTGGTTGGATAGGAACTCAGTATAACAATAAATCGCATAAATGTAAGAGAAAGACGTAAATATTAAAACACTTGTTTGGTTAACAACTTTCTAGTTTCATTTTATTGAAGTTCACTGAAGAGAAACTTTGATGTTCTTGGAATACTGTAGTATAGCAATATGTACTTGTGTCTATTATCTGTACACCTAACGTCTAGGGAGAACTAATAAGTGACCAAGTAGTCTGTTTGCGGCTATAATTAAGTATAAATTGTGTAAAGATTTCTCTACACGTGAATTGTTACTAGGAGCAATCAAATTGGAGGAATATATATCATTACGGCATTATATAAAAATGGATAATAGTAAACTCGAATAGGTGTCATGCAACTTTCTTGCACAGTTTGTTATATTAAAACCGTTTACTGCACGTAACCATCTCTCCAATTAAAGAAGACGAGAAATATAATTATGTGTATGTGAGCGTAAAAAATGATCGTGATTTATTTATTATCTTGGCTAGGATAACTCCTACCCAAGATTAATTTTTTAACTTTTTAAATTTTTTGTACTTAAAATTATTTAACATGTTAATATTAAACTTAAAACTTATCAATAAAGTAAAATAAATCAAACCAAAACTTTCACGTATCTATATTGGAAGCTATTTGCACATCTCTAAATCAGTTATGGTAATTAAACTTTAAAAAAATTAAGTTATCATTTAGATATATTTATAATTTAATGTGGACAAAAAAAAGGAGAGTATTCCTATAGCCATATCTCTGACCCTGTTTTGTAAGTTACTTTAAAAATTCTAGAGAAAAATGTAGAACCAAAAGCTCATTGAAAGTTTGGGCGACGCGTATTGGCACCCAGATTAATTACAATTTTCGAGTTTTGGATTAAAATGCGGAAGGTGTTGTGGCAACGACATATTGGTGGCTATACATGTATAGGTAATAACACGGAGTAAATAATACACTTCGGTAATAGGTTATTGACATCTCGTTTTAGTTTTTACCTGTAATAGGGTTAATTAGAAGGACAACATTTTAAGATTCACTAAATGATTATCGCTAAATTACAGGTTACTTATCATTTAACGACAACTGTAAAGGAGGTAAAACTTTGTTGTGATATGACTTTATTTTTTATTTTGAAACAACTTCGCAAGGATATAATTTTTGTGCCCTGTTAATATATCGCATCCTTTGTATAGTACAATACAACCACATGTGTTCATATGGCAAAAGTGTAATAATCAATACATCTGGACGCTTTATGAGGTGGTCCTGAGTTCTTGTCCTGGTAAAACTAATGTCGGAAAAGAATATTCCTAATATGTGTTCTGGATACTACCACTAGAATTAAATTCGTTACTTTGCTCCTCATAGTGCATACAATTCCCTTTTTTTAGACCAAGCAATGTTTTTGTTTGCCACGTCATGACATCATATAATATTACATTATTGTTGTCAACATACGACGCATAGAGCTCGTTAGATACAACGTCAGTTTAGCAACATTACCATATTACATTGCTACGCTTTCCGACTATGATGTCATTATAATCTGCCACCTTTCTTAACTTGCGCAAAGGTGAAAATAAACAACAAAATCATTATCCGTAAAAACACAGACAATCTCTTTAGTAGCAGTGGAGCCCTTTGTGAAAGAGTTTATCCAAGGAAGTACTGCCACCTTACCTATTTTTGCCGCCAAGCAATAATGAGAGAATTACTGTGTTTTGATTTTGATAAGGGTGCTGGTGAAATTACAGGCACATGGGACTTGTCAAATTTTGTCTTAGGGTGACAGACGCAGTGGCAGTGTCTCTCAGATCTTTGCGATTTAAAACTCTGAACAACATTGCAACTGCTATAGATAGGCGTGTCGCTTAACACCAGGCGCACGTTATTATCATAAAAATAAAGATTGAGAAATTAATTAATATGTTTTAATTTATTTTAATGTCTATTATTCATTAATAATAAATTTAACTTAATAAAAAATCATCAAATAAAATAATTCGTAAAACGTAATGTAGCCTAAATTGGAATGTTTCTTAGTAAAATTAAAAATAAGGTATTTAATTAATAACTATTGTAACTATAGTGAAAAATTGGCGTGGTTTGCATTAATATTAGACATAACTGGTTGATGACTATACCACCTCAGTCAACCGTGACCATGATACGTGAATGATGAAATGTTGGTTTGTTTGAAAAAACAAATATACGCGATTTAAATCCGGAGAATTAGATTCATTTCCGGTGTGTAACAATCGCGAAAACCCAAGAACTCGATTGAGAAATTATTTTTAAAAATAATTTTGATTAAACACTCTCAAAACTACCTGGTAGCCGGGTGACGTGACATACCTTCAGACTCATATTATAGCGTTATCTCACCAAACTAATAGCAAAGAGACATAAATTACAAACTTCGTTACTATAAAATGACGCTTTGTACTCCATAACAAGTGAAATCGTCCTTGTAAACAATGGTGGCAGACAATAAACTGTTTATGATAAGCCTTCCTGACTCGTGGAAAGTGAAAGCATAGAGCTAATGTACTTATTCGCATGAATTAGACTGTTAACTAATTAAGAAAAACAATCTATCTAAGAAAGAACATTAAATTCTTAATTGTATTGGATGGGACATACATAATAATAGGGGTTAAAGTATGAAATTGCCGATTTGTACTGA